CTCAAAAAGTTTTCATTTAACATTTGCTCCTTCTCTACTCATCAACATTCTCTGCTCGCGTTCAAGATTTAAAATAGTAATTCGAAAAAAACTGTAACTGGAAGCTCAACATGATTAAAATTGAATTAAATGATTGTGTTTTTAAATTAATGAGTAAGTATGTCAATCGAAAACTTTAATTCCATGGCTATAAACTATATATGAACTATCATTTACACTCTGTAGCTGTAAAGTGAAAAATGAGTTATTTACGGGAAGATTCCGAAGAAATAAATAATAATACATCGCCCTCAAAAATTTAGAGACGCCTGGCTTCAACATGAAGATTATAAGCAATGGCTTAGTAAGGCGGCTGACGATCCGTACAAAGCTAAGTGTCACAAGTGCAATATTATAGTAAAAGCAGAGTTGACTGTCATTAAAAACCACATGGTCTCCAAAGTTCACGCAAGTCGTAGTAAGTTGTTAGAAGCTCAGCCGGCCATTTCCAAATTTGTGAAAAAAAATGATGAAGGCTGCACAAAATCTAAGCAGTTCAAGCTCTCGAAGTGAAGTTGTGTGGTTTCGTGGCTGAACATAATATCTCATTGGCAACATTGACTCACCTGACAACACTTTTAAAAAGCGCTGTGCCTTATTCCGATATCATCAAACATATGCAATTAAAATCAACGAAAGGAACAGCAATAATAAAAATTGTAATCGCCAAAGCTGAAAAAGAACAGCTACAAAATAAATTACAGACCAGTCTGTTTAGTGTTTAATAGATGAATCTACTGATATTGGGAGCATTCAAACGATGTGCGTCATTGTAAGGTAGAGAATATGTCAGTTTTTATTGATTGAAGTCTATTGTATTTCTATATTTTATACATTCCATAAATATTGTATTTTTCATAAAACAGATTTTTCGATGCTGAAGAAGGAGAAGTGGTGAGCAAATTTTGGGATCTTTGTCAAGTTTTTGAACCTAGTTCAGATGTTGAGAGTGCTACGGCGAGGCATTTATTTGAACTACTAACAAAATCCTTCGAAGAATATGAGATTGCATTTAAGAACATCATTGGATTCGCGTCTGATGGAGCCAGTACAATGATGGGAAAAAGTAATTCTGTAGCTTCAAGGTTCATTGAACAGTGCCCTGGCATTTACATATTCAAGTGTCTATGCCATTCTTTACAT